AGGTTTGTTGCCCATCCTCGTATTTTGGATCCTCACTGTCGTTTTAGGGTTTCGGGCTGTCTAGAAGATGCTGAGTGCTCGTTTCGGGCTTCTGCTGTACTGTGCAGCAGTGTTGTAGGGAGTTCCGTTTGGTGCGCATCGTTGGGTTGTCGGCCGGTAGTTCAATTTAACGGTTGCCGTCTTTTGGATTTGGGGTTTGCTGCCCGCTGCTGCGGTTTTTTGACGGAGCACTTCGTGGAGGGTTGGTGTGCTGTGTATCGACCCACGCAGTTTTAGGGTTTAAGCTTTGGCTGGATGATCAAACAGTTGCCGTTCAGTTTTAGTTGTTTCTGCAAGAAGGTTGGGCTGAGACCATGTTTTAGCTTATGGGTGCTTGCTGCCCATGGCTTCGGGTCTGATCCGCAGCATTTTTAGGGTTTAGGTGTGTCGAGATGTTTTGAAAAAGGTTTTGGTTTCATTCTGCAGCTGTCCATCATCTTTCTGCTTTGGCCTAGGGCCTAGGCTTTGCCCGCTGCAGCTTTGTTTTGGTTTCGCATCGCTCCAGTCACCTCCTTTGAGAATGGAGGTGTCGTGCCCATCGTTTGGAGTTTGCTGCGCATCGTCTCGGGTGTCCCTCTGTTTAGGGTTTAGGGTTTAGCTACTTCCGTAATGAGGCTGAGTTGAGGGTAGGCTTCCCTCTTGGCGTTTTCATGTTCGCTTCTCGGGGCCAGTGTGGGCTGGTGTCTGACAAGTCGGATATAGGTTAGACTACCGCTGTGTCAAGGTTGAGTTGAAAGATCACTGTGTTTTGCTTATGCGTTTCTGACCCTTGGCAGCAATGCTGCCCATGGCTTCGGGTTCGGTCCTCACCAGGTTATAGGGTTTAGGGATGGCACGATGTGCAAGGAGAGTTGCAGGTCTAGCTACCTCCGTAATCAGGTTCAGTTGGGGTACACGGGGTGCTAGGCTTTCCTGTTGAAGTTTTCATAATCGTTTTTTGGGGCCAGTGTGTGCTAGGTGTTTGAAACTTCGGATATGATGTAGATCTGGAAGCCGATGTGGTAACGTGGAATTGAGGGGTTCTGACAATGGTGAATGGTGTTTTGCTGATTTTTGTTTGGCCGTTTTGAAAGGTTAAGGCTTGACGCCCTTGGCTTCGGGTTTGATCATTACCAGTTCTTAGGGCTGAGGGTGAGAAATGGGTGCTTTACCTTGTACCGCACACCTGCTGTTCTGGGGCTTAAGCTTTGCTGTCATTTTTGCTCGGGTGTGTCGCTGTTTTTCGAGCTTCGTGATGGCTAGTGCTTAGATGCAGTCTCTGAGTTAGACGTGTATTTTGTGCAGGAGTCGTCTACGCATCGCTTTGTCTAGGATGTGGTTTGGTCTATTTGACTTGAGTTGAGGGTTCATTCTGTGGGTGAAGTTCATCAAGGTTTGTTGCCCATCCTCGTATTTTGGATCCTCACTGTCGTTTTAGGGTTTCGGGCTGTCTAGAAGATGCTGAGTGCTCGTTTCGGGCTTCTGCTGTACTGTGCAGCAGTGTTGTAGGGAGTTCCGTTTGGTGCGCATCGTTGGGTTGTCGGCCGGTAGTTCAATTTAACGGTTGCCGTCTTTTGGATTTGGGGTTTGCTGCCCGCTGCTGCGGTTTTTTGACGGAGCACTTCGTGGAGGGTTGGTGTGCTGTGTATCGACCCACGCAGTTTTAGGGTTTAAGCTTTGGCTGGATGAATTTTGTTGTTTCTGTAAGAAGGTTGGGTTGAGACCATGCTTTAGCTGATGGGTGCTTGCTGCCCATGGCTTCGGGTCTGATCCGCAGCATTTTTAGGGTTTAGGCTTGTCGAGATGTTTTGAAAAAGGTTTTGGTTTCATTCTGCAGCTGTCCATCATCTTCTTGTTTAGGCCAAGGCTTTGCCGCCTGTGGCTTTGTTTTGGTTTCGCATCGCTCCAGTCACCTCCTTTGAGGATGGAGGTGTGGTGCCCATCGTTTGGGGTTTGCTGCCCATCGTCTCGGTTTAGTTATTTCCGAAGTGAGGTTGAGTTGAGGGGTCATGGGGTGCCAGGCTTCCCTGTTGAGGTTTGTTTTATTGCCTTTTGGGGTGTTCGATGGTTGTCCACTCAACACCACCGTTTTCGGGACTGGGGTGGGCTAGCTGTTCGAAGATTCGGATTCAGATTTAGAAATCTAAGTGGTCATGGTGTTTTGCTGCGGGTTTTTGTTTGGCCCTTTTCAAGCATTGAGGCTTGCCGCCCATGGCTTCGGGTTTGATCCTTACCAGATGTTAGGGCTTAGTTGCCAGGATGCATAGTGAGAAGTGAGGATTTTACCTTGTACCGTGCGCTTGCTGTTCTGGGGCTTACTTAAGCTTTGCTGTTTATTGCTCGGGTTTGCTGTGCATCGCTGGCTTGGAGCTGTATTTGGTGCTAGACGTGTAGGTCAAGTTCAACAAGGTTGGCTGCTAATGCTTGTGGTTTTAATCTACAACATTTTAGGGTTTCGGGCCGTCTAGTCTAGATGCTTAGTGATCGTTTGGGCGTTATCTTGTACTGTTCAGCATTTGTGCAGGAGGCTTCGGCTTTGCTGCCTGCAACTTCGGGTTTGCTAGGCATCTTTCTTTCTTTCTGTCTTAGCGCTGTTGGCGACATGAAGTTCAGGATCTGGAATTGGAGTTTGCTGCCCTGTGTGTCAACACGCGCTCTTGTTGTACGGTGTAGGCTTGGCTAGATGAAAAAGGATTGGTTTGCCGTTCAGTTTTAAGTGTTTATTAAGAACGTTGGGGAGGGGCGGGGGGCTGAGACTGTTTCTTTGCTTGTGCCCCTTGAAGCGTCGGGGCTTGCTATCGGGTTTGATCCGCAGAATTTTGGGGGCTTAGGCTTGTCGAGATGTTTTACTGACTTAGCTTTGTGTTGGCTTTGCATCAGTGTATATCACTCTCTTTTGTGGCTCTTGGATGCTCTTGGGGTCAAATTTTAGTTGTGTGCTACCAGTGAGTCCTACCCATCATTTCGGGTTCCTTGCCCATCGTCTCGGATATCGCTCTGTCGTGGGTTTAGGGCTTAGCTATTTCCGTCATGAGCTTGAGTTGAGTCAATGGGGTGTTAGGCTTTCCTGTTGAAGCTTGCATTGTTGGGTTGACGATGGCTGTCCACTCAACACCATCGTTTTCGGGACGGTGGGCTAGCTGTTCCAAGGTTCGGGTTTAGATTTGGAAATCGATGTGGTAACGTTGACCGAGGGCCTATGGTGCTTTTGTTGATTTTTGTGTGGCCCTTTGCAATCATTGAGGCTTGCTGCCCATGGCTTCGGGTTCGATCCTTACCAGTTTTATGGTCTTAGGGTTGCCAAGATGTGTAGTGTGAGAAATGAGGGCTTTACCTTGTACCGCGCATCTGCTGTATTGGGGCTCAAGTTTTGCTGTGTATTGCTCGGGTTTGCTGTGCGTCGCTATTTCGCGCGATTCGGGAGCTCAGATGTACGTGGTCTCGGAGTGAAAGTTGTATCTTGTGGTAAACGCGACCTCAGGGCACTGAGCTGTTCTGCACGTTGTGTTGCCAATCGTTTGCACATCCCTTTGTTCAGGATGTGGTTAGTAGATGCTTAGTGATCGTTTACGGGTTATCTTGTGGTGTTCAGCACTTTTGTAGGGGGCTTCGGCTTGTTTTTGGGTCCCACGATTGCGATATGTAGTTTGATAGTTCAGGTTTTGTTTGTGTTGCAGTTGGGTTTGCACGGCATCTATCGGGTGTTTGAACGAGTCACTTTTTGTATTGTTGTTTAGCTGCTGCTCTGAGTTCAGGCTCGGTTGTTCTTGTCATCAAGTTGGTCTGGCAAGTGACCGTTTGCTTTCGCCAATAGCCCTGTGAAGTGTCAGAGGCATAGCAAAAGTTTAGGGTTTCTCTATAACAGCCTATCATCTTTTTTGCTAAGGCGGCTCAGGGTTGGGTAGCAGTTAGATATCCACTCCACACCAGCGTTTTGGGAGTTAGGTAGGGTCGCTGGATGATTGAGGTCTGGCAGGCTTCGTAATTAGAAGGAGTTGAGCGCTCGATTTGCAAATTATGCCCCCTTCAAGCGTCTGGGATTTAAGTTTGGGGGTTTCTCTGCGATAAGGTTGAGTTGAGGCCTCATGAGGTGCAAAGTTTTCTACCTGTGGCGGTAGGTTTGATGCACATCATTTCTTGGACTTTATGATTGGCTAGCTGTTTTGTGAGGGTTTTGGGGTTATTTGCAGCCCATCGTCTTTTCCCAGTGATGAGGCTTTGCTGTCTAGTAATTATTGTGGGAGCTAACGCGTGGCCAGTGGCTAGCGGCTAGCCGCAACATCAGAGCTTAAAGGTTTATTCTCTCCTTGGGGATTTCGGCCGTTTTGGCTGGCGGGTGTGGGGTCTGCTGCCAGCCTGTTTGGGTTGCCCCTGCATCGTTCTGTTGAGGGCTTAGGTTTGGCTACTGTGGTTGAGTTGTTCGGCGTTCCTGGGTTTGGGTTACATAAAAACATGGGTTTGGGGTTGCCTAGATGTCTCAGCAAGTTTTACTATTTATGTTGTGCTGCTCATCATGTTTTTTTGGGCTGGTTTCGCTGTCAATACTTTCGGGTTTGCCCACTCTTTGCGACGATTTGTGGTTTTTGGGTTGCTCGCCAGTTGTGCTGCATCCCGCCTGAAGGGTTGCGGCCATTTGAGGAATCGATTGCTGTCGCTCTGGAATGACACCGGGTCGCACATCTGACCACGCTCAACAGGGAAGCTCCGCCAGGGAATTCGGGATCACTTCTGTGGTTGGAAGCCGGAGCTCGGGAGGCAGGGTTAGTGAAACACAGCTAAGATGTACTTCAGTGGACACAGACAGCTCGCGATCCTGGGCGTCGCAAACGTGCACGTCAGGGTCTTGTATGGTGGGAACGAGGGAGCGAGGCAGGAGGGTTGGCTTTCTGGAACGAGAAATGCGACGAGAACAAGATGTCGACAGCAACAGGTATCATCATATTGAGACGAAGCGGCTGTAGACTCTAGACGCACCTGTCGAGGATAAGTGGCGATGGGAAGACTCTTTTCTTCTCCTGGTCTCAGCCGGCCGAGGTCGCTGCGCCTTGGAGGTTCAAGCAGATTCTAGCAAGTTCTTGTCACTTGCCAAGTGCACTCAGGCAGGGTCTTTGTACGCTAAGGACCCACGAGCCATGCTGAGCCTGTGCCATGCCGGAGAACAGATGCACTGCATCCTCGAAGGCTCGTTGAAGTTGGCACCTGTGAAGTCTCGGAACCACGGCAGCACACAAAAAAGGCAAGATGCGATCAGGAAGGGGTTTCCAGCCATTATTGGATGCCAGACAACAATGGAGTGGTAGGAGTGGTGGGAGTGAGCGGTGGTGAGATTCACAAAGATTTTAGTGCGTATACACTCCTCATTATGAGCCCTGCCCTGCAGGACTGGAGGGCTTAACTTCTACAGGCTCCATAGAAACAATGCTAATCCAACTTGAATCGCTATTTATCGATTGTTTTCCGCCGGCCACAGGGTGTGGATAATGTGCCCTACCACTTGTAGAATGGAAGCCGCTAAACTGGTAATAGTCTTGAAAGTGCTACAGAAGCAACAAGCAAACCGATGGAACGATACTGCTTTGCCATGCTCACGGGCGTCCGCTGTGCTCATCGCGACATTCATGTCAAGAAAAGGTTCAGCGTCGAAAATGTTGAGGACTTGTGTGTTTGTGTTGGTATTAAGAGAGTTGGGGCCCCGCAAGCCGGCAAGGGCCGGCATTCTCAGCATCCTCTGGTTTCCATCCATCGACCTCATTTCGGTTTCAGTGTTTCCAGATGCAAGCGCATGCGATGCCTCCCCCACCCCCCGCGTTTTCTACGAGAGGTTGCAGAATATTTCGGAAGCGAAGCGGAACAGAACACGTCGGATCGAGGTCGATGAGTTGACAGGTGGCAGGCATGAAACATGCAGGTTTGGCGATCGGCGATCCTGCAGTCACTCCGTGCATTGCTGGACCTGCCAGCTGCAGCGAGTGGTCAGTAGACCTGCAGCACGCGAGCCTGCCTCTCAGTCTCTTGAAGTTTCCAAGTTGCTACAGTGAGCCTGGCTGCCAAGCAAACTACGGTCTAGCTGATACCAAGACTTGTCTAGTGTAGCCAGCAGACGTTGCACCACAAAAACCCATCTGCATCACATTCGTGACTGTTGCTCGAAGTTGACAGGCAGCAGGCCGTGTGGAAGGCTTGAACTTCGCATCGACCGGGGGGCTGTTCGTGAGGCCTTTGACTCAGTCAACCGGCAGAAATTCACGTGCCCACTGTGTCATCAAAAGCACATCTGGAACCTGACTGCTAGCCTCGCCCATCCGACAAAACACCGAGGTCGGCCAGCAGAGGGCATCGAAGGAAGCCCACGCTGCGATGGAACATCCTGCCTCGTGCTCCTCTGTGGCTTTTGATGAGGGCCCGAGGCCAGACCACGGATTTGCAGTGGGACCTGAATGGCGTGCATTCGAAGATTTTGGGAGGTACGGACGTACGAATCAGTCTTTACTCAACTGTGAAGAGTCTGACTGTTAGACGTTAGACTCGGCGAGGTCCGGTGTAGCTCGGCGCCGTGGGCTGCATGATCAATTCTTCCAACTCTCGGGAGTTGTTGCCGGTTTATTCTTGATTCCAGTTGCAGCGGGGCATTCGGAGCGAGTGGTCGCACGAAAACGTCCGCTCAGGTGTTTTTTAGTGCACGATGGCCTGATGTTGGACAAAGGCTGCTCAGCTTCCGTTCGGAGCGGTTTTAAGGTTTCTGCAGATCATGTCGTTGCTCGCAACTTGCCAGGGCCATCCACTCCGAACTTGTTGAGCGATCTGGGCAAAGCTCACATGGATGTCTCGACTGTCTCCCTGGCGGACTTTTGGAGAAGAGTTTCAGACGGGCCTCGGTCCACGCCCTGTGCGACTGAGCTGCAAAGAGCACGGCAATGTCACTAGTTTCTGCAGAGACTGCCTACATTGTCGGGTCTCTTTCAGGTGATTATTCCCAAAGTGGACAAGAAGTTTTGGCTTGGGCATGAGCGCCTTCTTTTTGACTATGTCCTCCACGGTGGCCAGCTGTATATTACTGGTGGCTGGGCTCCCAGCATCAACCAAGTATCACTCAGAACATGTAAGTCTTCTGAGTGCTTCTTTCGCATTCGTCTGGCCGCTTCTTCGCGATGCGATTCTCGGTGACAATCATACGATCGACGGGACCACAAGGTTCCGCAAGTGGGGCGACAGAAGGATTCAGCAGTCGTTTCGCATTCCGGGATAGCCGTCCGGAGAGTTGGCAGTTGGAAGAGAAGAGCTGAGACGTTGAACTCTGCAGAAGCACCACGTGCCCCTTCACGGGACCCGACCGATTGAAGCCGCGATGCCAGGACTGACGGACGCTACACAACTGACACAACTACTTGACAACTTGCAATGGTTGAACGGCAGGATGGCCTCGATGTCCTTACAAGGTGAATCAACTACGCTGTAGTCAGCCTGAGATTTAGGTTTGGGGATGTGAGATTCCCTGCAGGTTTCCTTGGTTCGGATGAGATCAGCTTAAGGTAGGAATGACTTAGTTCACAGGTCTTTTGGGTGTGGGAACCGGATAAAGTCGGAGGTCAGGGCAGGGCAGAGTCCGTTCACAGTCTTGGGCGGAACACATTCGACAAGGTTCTTTGATGTGTCATTGGGGCGCATGAGGTTCAAGTGGCACGTTAGATTGGTAGACACATGCAATCGTTGTGATTCCTTTGCTTCGCGAAGTTATTGCGGTCTAGTCTGTGTCACCGAGACCCGGTCCCGTGGCAGGCTTGTAAAAATTGCTCCTTGCCCTCTTCTAGCACACCTTCCTGTACTCCTGACTGCCCTGCAGAGTGTGCAAAAGATCCCTGGCGTGCCCACCCGCAGTATCCGGCAGAGGATGCTGCAGACTATCCCTCCGATGACCACCCTTAAACTTCCCCTTCACAGCATCGCTGGAGTGCCTATGCCTGCAGCATTGTCACGCGGTTCCCGTTCTTTCCTTTGAATTACATACTGTGGCAGGACGTGATCCGACTAGGTCAGTTGTTGGCTGGTCAGATAAAGTCTGCTTAGACCCTGAGCTGGGAGAAACTTGCAGCCAGCGTCTAGATGCAGAGAAGCCCAGCCGCAGCAGCCACAGCAATGCGAGTTTATTTTTGGTGCACGCTCCTGCTTTGTTGCTGACACACTGCCTTTTCTCGATGTGTACACTGACCAGCACGGCCGTTGGAACGCACCAACTGGCAACACACGATATCCATCTTGTGCTGACATCCGTTGCCTTGTTGCGCTGCGCATGCTGATCCTGAAATCTGCTGCTAGTTCCATTATACTGGGTGGGTAGTGGCCTCGCGTTGGTTCGTGCGGGCTATACCTGCAGGTACAGTGGCAAGTCATCGATTCCGTTTAGTGCATCCGTTGCTAGAAGTTGTGGTCACGCTCGCTACACATCCATGCGCAGCCAAGGTCACTTCAATCGGCGGGCGCTACATGACGTTTTCGGTTTTAATCTGCAGCATGCTCACTCTGGCAACGTGCGCTGTCTGAATTCAGGGAGCCAGGGTGGTGCTCACTGCACTTTTGCCTGTGCTTCCCAAACCAGGTGCAGTATCTGCAAGACGGGCACAGAAGTGTGGCGCCACAGTGCTCAGACAAGTGGTTGAAGCTCGTTCGCAACCGAGTTGAGGACGATTTGATTAGTCAACTTCGTGGGAATGTTTCGCTTGGATTTCAGCTGCTGCGAGTACCGAGTACGACGCAGAGCGGCCCTCTGGGACAACAGTGGCAATGCTATAGGCTATAGGCTATAATGCTGTCCGTGACAACAACAGGGCGTTGTGACTGCAAGATTCTGATGCTAGTATTTTGACACCAATTGTAGTCGGATCTTCGGCATTCTTCGGCTTACTTCTCTCGGACTCATCCTGCAAGTCGCTGCCTTGCACCGCGACCAGGCAACCAACACACCGCATATGCAGCGAATGAACCAATAAGTCAGAAGCTGATAGGCTCAGATGCATTGGAGGCATGCGAAGCATCAAATGAAAGTTATGATACGAGCTGCCGAGGAAGATGCTTCCCGTGCTCAATGCAATGACCGCTGTCCCCGGGCCGCACATTCGCAGAGAGCCCTGGAGATATGGAGCCATCACGTCAGGTGAAGTTGCCTCCACGTGGCCAAGCTTTCGGCCATACCGTCACTGCGAAGCTGGGAATGCACCAAGGAAGGATGGCTTAGGCTTAGGTTCTTGAGAGAGGTGTTGTCCGGCCATGAGAGAATTTTCTTCTTCGGCTTCGGCTCCAAGGGTGAGTGGTTTGCCGGTTTGCTGTTTTCTGGTTGCTGCATCTTGAAGAAGAGTGCTCAGCCTTCATCCTACCGTACTGGTCGTTTTGTGTGTTTACAGTTTCCGCCTTTCAAGGACGGGACTCTATTCAGCTCAAGAGACGTCCTCAAGCTTCAACAGCCACTCGCTGCACCAGCACATCTGCAAACTTCACTTGTCAAGTCGGCGGTAGGGCGGATGAGCCTGTGACTGAGGCTTTGGGCTGGTAGACTTGCAGCTGGGTGGAGGTGAAGTGCTCACATTCTGCGAAGGTGCCATCAGCTGTGCTGGTGCTCGGGAGGCAAAGCCGCTTACTTTGCTTTCGACTGGCACGACGACGTGTCACAGGAGAGGCGTGCTTGGGCCGCTATCCCAGAACCGTCAAATGCAATGCGATGGTCGCTGACATGCAATTGTCGCTGACAGCTGAGAGGTGTTGCTTAGCTACTTAGCTGCCGCACGGATGTTGTTGGGCGGTCGGGCTCATGAGGCGATAACTTTCGCCATGCTCGCCGAATGCAACGCAGATCAGGCCGCAAAGAGAGCACCGGTTTGCTGGGTACATATGTCGTCTTACTGTCTGTGCAATGGAGACGATGGATGCCCTTCTGCTGCACGCGTGCTTGAAAATGTTATGTCGCAGTTATGTGTGTCGCTTCAATAATGGAGCATGCGGCATGCGTCTACTGAAATGGGAGACTTGCAGACTTCACAGGGTGCAGTTGATGTGATGCTCGCTTGGCCGTGTGCGTGGCTGGGCCACTGTCAGTCTGGACATGTGGAAGCGGTTTGACCGGTCTCTGTGAGCTGGTGAGACATGCGCTATCCGCCTGCCTCATCCGGATGTTCGATTGTGCCATGGGACATGCGGCTGCCTTCTTTTTTTGGCGGAGTCAGGACTTGGCATGTTTGGCTTTGCTGCTCTCAGAAGAGTGACTTGCCATCTCGTGCAACGTTCATAGGGCATTTCCGCCACTTCTGCAAAGGCAGGCATAGCAAAGATGTCTTAGTTGCGGCAAGGGTTGGAGGCCTGCATCTCTGCGGACTGCATGGGCAGTTTCTCCTGGTGGTTTGCACCTGTACTATCTTTACTCTTTCCTCGTGCCTTGCTCAAGTTGGACTCTAAGGCTATGGCAGAACTTGCTCTTGCATACATTTGCATCTGTCGGTTTGTCTTCGTCCTGCTTTGCGGAAGGTCGAAGTCAGCGAAATGCCGGTGGACTCAAGGGCGCGAGGCTGCGCAGAGCTTGCATGTTGATTGCAAGCTTCATCTGAGCGGCAGGATGGCAGGCACCAGCCGCACCCGCTCCAAGAATGCAAAAGGCGATCATTAATCACGGAAGTTTGGGTCTTTTCTCAACTCCAGTCCCCGATAGGAGGTGTGCAGCAATTCCGGGATGAAAAGGTTGCACGAGCTAGCGGTCAGCTAGAAGACGGACTGTAGCCTGCAGCCAGGTGTCGTACGAAGGGTCACATTCTGCAAGTGGTGACCCACTCGCTGTATTCTTTGAAGAGCCGTCGCATGTCGTGGCAAATGTGTCCAAATCTGCACAGCAGGTATGCCTTATCAGTCCATGCAGTTCGGACCGGGGAACAGACAGGCTGGGCCCTTGCCAGCCCTTGCCAGTTGGACCAAGATGCAGAGATCTTCGCTTCATGTGAGTTCGCAACGAGATGCTTTGGTGTGCGCAGATAGAGTGGTTTCAGATGGTCGCTCGTGTATTCAGCAGTTTTAAGCAGAGCGCTACGCAGACTCGGTGCCAATGAATCGGACGGCTCAGGTGCCGAATCCTGGAAAGCATCGCGGTGCCTGCATGTTTCACGGGTACCAGTGACATGTGGAGGATTGCTGGGATATTGGGCAGGCGAGGACCATGGCTTGCTGCTCGAATCCTTCATTCGACCAAGGTTTCTACATTAGGAGCCGTTTCCAAATCATTAGGCGACTAAAACCAGAATAGGACTGCCGAATTCAACAATGGCTGCAGAGATGCTGCCATGACCTTCTCTAGTGACTCTACTGATGCTCGTAGTTCCTCGAATGGAGAGTCGTGGTGTTGAGAGTCTCCATGTCGTGTACTATGGCAGGGGAAGGAGCTTCGTGGCCGCGCAGGCTGCAGGCCTCACAAGTCTGCGCCATTCTGCACTGCTAGCCTCACGTACGTTCTGTGTTTCGACTCGCGAGTATTCCACTCAAAGCAATCATATTGAGTAGGCTACTCACGGATTGTGCTTCGACATTCAGTGGCATTCTCGCCATGCTGGTAGAGCACTTGTTGGATAAAGGCCCTTCGATGAAACTGTTTTGCCACAGGAAGAAGGTCAGGCACTTGATGCTTGGGAAGAGGCATCGCCCATTCCCCAGCGCTTGAAACATGCGTGTCGCGCTGCATCAACGAGTCGTTGCCCGTCCTGAGGCTGACTGGCGACCCTGTGGAACCGGATTTGGAGGTCCGACCGGTACCGGCATAAAGATGATGCTGGATGCGCTCTGAGCAGGTTTCTATCGCATTGACTTGCCCGTTTCGGCCTGACTCGAGCGACAGGCCCGAGTTTCTTTGCCAGATCACGGCCTTGGTTGCGGGCTTGCGGGCAGTATGCCGTCCATGTATCGCGTCAAGGCTCACGGCTTGGGCTTCGGCCTTTAGAACCATGCACCATGCAGCTCCACACGCCCGACGAAGCATCCTTTTCGGGGAGCAAGCTCCAGGGTTTGCCATGGCTGTCCCGAGTATGGCCTACCCGTGCAGGAGAGCTCAGTTCCTTGAGGATCCCAGTAGAAAGCAGCGTTTTGCAAAGGAGTCCATGGCTGGGACCGGCCAGCGGCGACTTTCGGCTTCCGAGAGGCGCGAGGAAGTCTTTGGATCTTCCGCGACCGGCAGCAAGACTCCCGACATCTCGCGCAGGAGGATGGGCAAAAAGCTCTTCAAGCTTTCAGCCAAGACATTCGAGGATACAGCGCTTGAGAGCGGCAAAGCTTGACATCCAGCAGCACCTCACTTGCACTGCAATGACACGACGAGCTGCTGCACGACAACACTCGGCGGTTGCGCAGGTCTCCACGCGCTCCTGCTATGCTGCCGATTCTTTTTGCCACCGGGGCTGGGCAGAGATTTCAGATCCGGATGACTGACTACTCACTGGGGGGGCAGTGTTTCGCGGGGTTGCTAGGGCTAGCGATTTTGCTCAGGATCTTGATGTTTGCTGAGGTTTCTGCAGCAGTGGCGAATCGAGTTTCTAATCGTGTTCTATTGGCACCGTTGCTGCGTCATACGTATTGTGCCCTGGCTACATGATTAAAGTCTTCACGGTAGCCAATCGAACTCAATGTGCAAATTGGGGAGTCCGATGGCATGGCTCGCAGTTGTCCCGAGTCCTTGCTCTCACGACTACCCTGGCGCAACTGTCCATCTACTGTGTCTGGCTGTGGCGGAGTTTTCGCCAAGGACGGAGTGCGTCAAATTACACTCAAGACGTAGAGGATCGCTACACTTCCAGTGATTCTAGTGCAGGACAGATCACAAAGCCCATGCGGGACTATGCCATGTCCAATCCCGTGTTGCTGGGAGCCTTCGGCCTCTGAGCCTTGGCTGTCTTGAACAGGAGAAGCCCTAAGCGCCCGGGACCCGGGCGACCCGGGACCTCTCCCTCCCTACTTACCTACTTGCAAGGCGAGGGAGCCTTCTTCCCCTTGGTCTTTTACTCGGCGGCGAGGCTGCCTGGAAGCTTGGTCCAAGTCCTCAACCAGAGCCTCATACCATTCACTGCGTCCAGGCAGCAATCCGTAAGAGAGTGAGATTTCCTCTTGGGATGTCGTGTTTTACACTCCTGTCAAGGTGCTTTTCAGCTTTATCTTTCTGAGCCGGCGCTATGACAGGATCCAACTCCTGGGTGTTTTGGTAGCCCGGATGCTCCGCAGGGATTTGTTTCAGTTTCTACAGAGCACCTGCCGTTGAACACCTGCTTTTCTCGTTCTGGTCTCAAGGTTGTTCTTTGCGGCGTGACACTATTTACGTCCTTGCCTCGCAGCACGGGATCGTCCTCAGTGTTCGTCATTCTCTGCATTGCAGCCTATGGGCCAGACACTTATTTGTGTCCTTTGTCCTGGCAAATGACGGAAGAGTCAATTGAACAAAGGCTCCAAGCAGCGGCACCTTTGACGGCACTAGCCTCCCTGCACTTGGAAATCCTGTGGTTCATCGTGAGGCACCGCAAGCTCTCTGCACACCCAAGTTCAAGCAAGACGCGACGCCCCTCTTCACACCCTGGGGCCCTACTCCGCCCCCCGCCCCCCGCCGGATGCCAGCGTTGCATCGCTTTCAAGGACTCCGGGGCCTGCAGGGAATCTGCGGGGGATTGGACGGTCGGGACGGTCCGGGTGTCTTCTTTGCGTGAACGCGACAGACGTGTGGCCGTAAAATTGAGCGGGAGTTTGAGTGGGCGTTGCCGGGAGTGGACTTTGGGACACTCTTCAGAGAACAGTAGGCCCCTTCCCGCCCCTCTCTTGACTTCTGGTGAACCTGCCGCTTCCTGGCACAAGGCTGAGGAGGCGCTGCGCTGTCAGTTGTCAGGTCGTGTCTATTTTCATCCCAAAGCAGTGCGGCGGGCGTGGTTTGCTGCTGTCGCACCGTAGACGATTCAGCCGATGCGGAAGGACTAGCCTTGTAAGTTGAGTATCTTGTACTAAACCTGAACATGATGTTAAAGTGCCCAGGCCATGGTCGTCAAGGAGAGTGTTTTCGTTCAGTTCTCACAGAAGCAAGCGCGAGGCAGGAGCAGAGCCTTAGAGGGGCCATGCTGTCCTTTGTCGTGAAAAGGCGGTTCGGAGTCGAGTCCGTTTGCTGCGGCCTCAGCTGGTTGTGGCTTTTGGTCCTGATGATGATAAGGCTTCTTGGTTGTTGTTTTATTCAACCCCTGTGACGCTGGTGTCTGACAGTCACTGCCTCGCGGGCCTCTAGAAACTCAAGAAAGGCAACTCCTTTGTTTCCCACTAAGTCACGACGACAGTCAGCAGCGTGCGCATTGTCTGGAGACTGAGGATGCTTCGCTTTTCCTGACCATCGGCACTTGCTGCCGCTGTGCCGTTCAACTGCTGGCCTGGCCGCTGTTTCTGCAATTGGTGTCTCCAGGCCTCGGCATCAGGAGAGATTTGAGAATCTGAGATGTGAGCGAGGCTGTTCTGAGTCCTTGTGTGGTTCAAGCAGTACGTTCTTACCAGGAGCAGTGCGACTGCCGGTGCGATGGCAATGATGCATCCTGCTGTTCTTCCCCTGACGATCTTCTACATCATGGCGAATGTGGCTGAGACGGAAACGGGGACTCTGAGCGTGTACCCGTTTCGGAGCCTCGAGCAAATCACCACGCCATAAGGGTCCATGCTGCTCAGGTTGGCATCAGCATCACTGCTCTGCTGCTTGTGCAGAAGTCATCAGCATCGACCGTAGTTCTTGCCAATGTGGTCGCTCGTCTGAAAAGGCATTCACGCTATAGCGCCATGCGCGGTTGCGCAGGAAGGGCTGGTCTCAGGTTGCGCTGCCACTGTCGGCGCTGCTCTTCTGTCTTCCATTGCCATCGCTGGAGCGGCAGGCCCGGCATGGGGGGCAGCAGGGCACGGGACAGAGCACGCTGAAGCGCTGAAGACATGCATGCCAACAGGTATTCCAATGGCGATTCGCGGTCAGTCTCTTGCTGATTGTTCTGGGGATCCTTGGATGCATGATGCAGATACAGACTTATGACGACTGCAATTTCATCTCCTTCCGCAGTGAAGACGCCGAGGAACTTGCTCTACAGCCATCGTTCATTGACGCCTTGAATTGAACGCGAGATGCAGGTTTCGAGGATGGACCCCGCAGCTGTGAGGATCCGACTCGAAAATCACTCGGTTCCGAATTCAATGGTCGCCCTTCCTGGCCTTCAAATGAACAGTGTTCAAGAATCGGCAAAATTGACTACTTGCTTCTTCTCTTGTATCGCAGTGGCACCGAGACTTTTGTGGACTTTTCAGTCAGTAGATGACCATGGCACAGGCTCAGTGAAGCCGATGCCAGCAGCTGTGACGGCATTCGAGCAGTTGCCTAAGTCCGTGAAGCTGACATGACCGCTTCATCACGGTTGTGACACGTGAGGAGAAGATGCTGGAGAACCTGGTGACTCCTGAGTCAGGTGGTCTCTGTGAAATTTTGCATTGCCGGCCGAGTGTGCCTTGGCAGCTCGGCATGCAGGTTTCTATGCTGCCCTGGCGCCTGACATGTCGCTCCATCTCCTGCATTTTGCTCCGCCTGCGGCTGAGGGTCAGAAAGCGCCCTTTTAGCAGATGCCGCAGAGTCTGCATGCTCAGGCCGCACATCATCCGAGCCCTCTCCGATTGCCCGCCGATCGAGAGGATCGAAGAGTCAGTGCTCGCCTATGGCAGTGGGACAGGGCAAAACATATTCGTTACTCAGATATCATCTGCCCCGCTGTTGCACCACACATGAGGCCACAAAGGACCCCAATCTTCGATCTGACATTGGGACAGCCACGTAAGGGCTCGTGACATCTTCCCGTAAACACTTTCCACGGTGGCGGATGGTGGTGGCTCGTACTTGGTCGTGGCTAATACGAGACACTGCGCCGCTCGAAGAAAAAGGGCATCGAAAGCACGAAGAAGGGATTAAGAGGCCTGACCATCGATGTACGACTCGTGACTTGGCACTGCGCAAAGCTTCAACCAGGAGCACAGAAAGTGTCCACTGTGTCCAAAAACAAAGTTGAAGCTGGCCACTAGTATGCTAGCATGTTTGCCGCATGCCTGTGACCCGGGGCATGTGGAGTTCCGGTGCTGGAACATTATGGAGCACGGTCTATGACTGAAGTCTTCGGGCCTAAGTGCAAGCGATGCTGTGTGGATCGCTTGCAGCTGAACTCACGGAAATCACAAAACACAAGCTTCTGAAACACTCTACAGGTGCTCCAGATGAATGCCGCCTGCGACTTCCGGGATGCCAGAGGCGAGTGATGTGCAGAGCGGGAGTGCTTGCAAGTTTTTTGTGAGCTTGCAGGTGATGCATCGGAAGGCTTATACACAAGCTCGACAGCTTTCCTGCCGGAGCCTGTTTTGTGCTTGCGCCTGTCATTCTCTTCCGGAGATGCAGCGGGACTGAGACTCGCTAACTGTTTGAGCCCAGGCGATTGCATCTTTTCCAATCGCAACTCGGGGTGGAGATGCTGAGCCAACATCTGCAGAAGCAGGCACCATCGTGCATGCACAGCTGTGCGGAGCCGTCACCATGCACGTCTTACGAGCGCACATGAGAGGGAAGTGCTGCCAGGTCTGCCGGCGACCTTTGTGCAGAGGCTATGCAGAGATTCTGCGCCAACGTGTCAGGGGATGTCCGTTTCTCAGTTCCGGCATCGCTTGGGAGCGATGGTAGTTCCGTGCTGGTCGATTCAAAGCGTTGGAGCACCGAAGGTCCGGAGGACGCAGGGCACAAGGGTGTCATCGCGAGAGTGGTGTCCCAGCCATGTCTTGCCGGTGCTACTGGTACAGAGTTCAAGAGCGCATTGCAGCTGGTTCAGGCTCGAGCTGTTGACACTACCATGGCTTCATGCCTGGAGGCTGTCACAGAAGGGTAGTGACTCGGTGCAAGGGAGACATCGGCCGGCGAAGCTCCCAAAGCGATCGCTAACGCTTGGAGGTCCACAGCGCCAGCCACGGCGATGCTACTCACTCGGAAGTCTCGTGCGCAAGCTTAGGGCATACATGCCATTGGTTCAGAACGTAAAGCCGACACATATTGAAAGCTTCTGGGACAGGTCTGGTGGTGGAGCCCTTGCCGGGGTGTGGTCCAGCGATATGAGCGTGCGAAGCTGGGCATTCCTTGCAGACAAGATCTGTTTCGAGGGGCAGTGGATTCTCTCATTCGCTTCAGGAGAAGAACCACGTGTTGATATCAGGCATCGATACAGGCTGTGGCAGCTTCTGACACAGACTGGCGTGTTCTCCTTCACGGTGGGTTCGAAGTTCGAAGTTCTCGTTCTCGGAGGCAGCGCCGCGGAAATGCGTGCTGTGGAAGCTGCCGTTGGCAGGCCGTCGCTGCAGTGAGCGGTTCCCCGGCTCCGCTCTCTTCTCATCGGCAGGATCTTGGCCGATGAGTTGCAGCTTCCACTCTTTGCCTTCGAGGAGCTGGATCCTAAGGAAGGGTTCAACATGGGTTAGGTCGCCTCCACTTTTTGGCTTTTCGCGAGGGAGCACTAAAACAACACTGTAGGCGTGGGCAAAGCTTCGCCGATATCTTCGATCCACTTCTGGGAGGTGCACTCGCGGAGCCCAGCCAGTTCGCATTCTCGACGTAGTCGGGCTATACAAGTCCCATGCAGTTGCAGCCTCTGGGCGCAGGGCCGAACGTGTTCACCGTCACTGAATCTCGCCTGCGTGCTGGGAGCTTATGTCTCTGAAAAGTTGCCACAGCTTGTCGAGTCGGGCGGGCGTTGGAGTCGCGGCATGTCATGTCAGTGTGCACATGTGCAGGGAGGCCGCGGGCGGATACCTCTACCTAGGTCGCCGCTCAGCTTACGCCATTGCCAAGTGGGGAGCCTTTCGACGAGTCAGTTGGACGCTTCAATGAGCCAAAGCAGGATTGGGCTGCAGTGCAAGCAGTGCTTGCAACAGGTCAGAGTTGTTTCACGTATCGCTTTCAGACTCCGTTGCAGGAGATCCCTGTGCAGCAGAATGCCTATTTTGCCGAGCAGCATAACCTTCAAATGCCTCAGCCTCGAGTTATGGTCAGATTAGCAGCATTTCGCTCAACGCCGAAGTTTCTTGACAGGCTTGCAATCCAACCTCGGTGGAACGAACAAGGCAAGCTGGGTTTCCATGTTCAAGATTATGCCGTGCAGAAGGATTTCCTGCGCACCAGGCATTGATCCATCGCGGCTGAGGATTCGAATCATCTTCGAGGACAGCCCTGTGTTGTTCGCGGCTTCGCTTCCGAACCGCAGGGGCCTCCTGCTTGTCTGCATTCTCAAATGCATTCCCGCACCACGAAATCGAATCGCATTGAACCTGAGCCAATCGTGCCTACGACAGGAAGTCGTGACGAAAGATGATCCGTCCGCGGTCATTCGGATATTCCCAGCCCCGAACCTCGGGAAGGAGTGAGGTGATTTTGCTGCGCATTGAAAGTGGCGATCGAGGTGGCCTTGCGAGATATCTGTGCCCAACTTAATTGGTTTTCGATGGCTGAGTTCTGAACCCTGCGGCTGAGTGGATCCAGTCTGTCACGATCTTCTCAGTTTGCAGGGATGGTCCTGGCGGATAGTAAGGTTCGAGCCTGCAGCCGGATGACGAACTCCAGTGGCAGATGTTTCCGCCGGGTTCTTGGTTACAACCTTGTCGTGACCAGTTCGTACTCTTCCTGCGTCGTACCGTCCATGCTCTCAGCAACACGCGCCGTGCTATCGTGCTGCGTCAAACCAGAACACTCCAGAACCAACAGCCAGCTTCGTTGATTTCGCACAACGCACGAAGCTCATTGCCTGAGGCGGAAACACAGGGCAGAGGGGAATTGCAAGGACAGAAAGCTTAGGTTTGTCCTGGAATCGTGATGGCCCCGTGATGGCTAAGGGCAGACACCGGTCTTGGGTCTCTCAAGCCGGGGCCTTTTACTTGTCGGTGATTTGGCTACACTAGGAAGTTTCGTCGTAAAGTAAGACTTGCAGGCCTGCCAGTGGTGGATCCGGCGCTGGTCCCTTGGACAGCGTGCCCGTCGGATTCGTTTGCAACGTCCTCGGTTTATGACATTCACCCCAGTGGTTGCGCATCTGATGCGACACAGGTCACGTCATAGCAGCTGGAGATGATGTTCAGGTCCTTGCAAGTGGCGAGGCGGGTAGCGGGAACCGTCTTGCTCGGAAGGGATCGATTGGCACATCAGCCAGGTGCTGCAGATAGAACTTTCGCAGCCTCTTCTCCGCAACACCGAGTACGAAGTGACCTGAGCAAGACAACTCACTCGGTTCACTGCAGTCGACTTGGCTCCCCACTTCGACGAGCCCAGGTGGTTTTGCTGCCGCCACGCATCGTGAAAGCCGCCATGGGCAGTCTCATGCCCTGGAATGGATGGAGCTTGGAATCTGGGAGGAGGGCCTTTCGCCTTTCGCTGCGCTGAAGGTACGACCTTCCCAGGTGCTCTTTGGGAGGCCTGTCCGCTTGGCCTGACAGCAAAAGCTTTCAGATTCTTTGCTGGGTGCTGCAGGGTTGGCCAAGCGAGGAAGGCCAAGACAACCAGGAGCTGCGAGAGCACCACAAAAGCTGTAGTGAGGCTTGCTTTCGCGTAGGATTCGAAGTGCGATTGATTTTGCTGAGGAGTATGTCTTCACCACGGGAACCCCCAAAGTGTCCAATGCCAGGCAGCTTCCGAATGTTCCGTGCAGTGCCGGGGTGCCGGGTGCAGCCCGCGGCTGGCTCACCGTTGCAACCGCTTTCGAGGCTTTCCATTGCCGTCAGCCGCAGCCTCACGGGAATCTCAGAAGGCTCGAGAGTCAAACAACAGAGTTGCAGGCTGCAGTTCCGAGGAGGAGTGCGAACGGCAGCATCGGCCACAGAGACTCCTAGATTCTAGATGTGAGGGAATTCTTCAGAGACTGCAGACCCAAGGAGGCGCCTGGTAAGCGAGCAAGGTATGGAGGACAGCTGAGTGAGTCGCCTAGAGGAAAGTCACTCCCCACATATCCGCGCGCCACACATCGCGAAGAGTTCGAGTGCTCACACATGCTCACACATCGGCTTATTCGGCGAGTCAGGCCGGGGACACAGACACACTGAAGCCATATGCCTTCGTCGCGGTGACAGGATCTTGCGAGCCGCGCATCCTGTTTCGCAGCCTGGTTCCGCTGCAACCAGGATCCGGTTGCACAGGTGGGGAAGTTCTGTCGTTCTGCCGCGTGTGAGAGAGTCAGATCTACTCTTGCACCTTGCCCTGTCTGAGAAGCATTGCGAAATTCCTGACCAAAGTACGTGCAAACCTCAGAAGCCTGTTATTGTCTGCTCACCGAAGCGAAGTGCGTGCGAGCTGGGGAAAGCTGGTATGCTAACGAAGCTTCGAGCTTTTGAGTCGCAGCAATGCGCTTGAACGTAGTTATCTGCTTCGGATGAGGGGGTAACTCAGGCAGTGGTGTGACCCCCATGGCAGCTGGGCCTTGAGCTTGGCCCAGCTTGGAGAGCCGAGCAAAGCGGAGCGACGGCCTCAAACCCCGGATATTCCAGGCACCTTCTTGGTCTCCACCGCGGAAAAAGCAGGATCGCCTTCTCGAGCGTCCTTTTGGCATTCGGGCTATGAGCTATGCGTGTCTTTTCGAGTGCCAGGATGTTCAGTTGAGCAGCGTCCCAGATCAGGCCGTCTCGGAGGCCTTGCCCCTCCGGTCCGTGCGTCTGCATGGATGCCCAAGTTGGTCGCCCTGCAGGTGCAATCAATCTACTTGCCGAGTTGGGTCCCTGCCCCAGTTCTGTTTTCGTCAGCACCAATTATAACTTCTGCTGTGGGCTGCACCAGAAGCAACTGAGTATGCGAGGTTTACATTGTATCCCTAGCCGCCTGGGTACAGGGCACCTTTGCAACTCTGCGAGCAGCCTGGTGGGTCGATGCCTGAGATCTGCTCCAGAATCGCAGGCTTCGCCTCTGCATTGCTCGCTTCAGAGGTGAGCGACCTCTACACACAGAGCCGCGACTTCGACCCGTACGTCGCACAGGCACCGGAGCAGCACAGGACGAGTGCAAATGAATATGCAAGGCATATCCGTAGGAAAAGGCAGGGTCATGTCGTGGTGGCGGGGCCTCTTCCTGCCGTCTGTTGTGTCCATGCAAACTAGCAGCTGTGAAGCCTGCTTGAGGGCAGCCGCAGCTTGCCCTTGAAAGCCTGCGCAGTCTCCATGGCGGGGCACTTTATAGCGGGTGCACAGTGGTGAGATGTTGGTTTTCATCACTTCCGGCGGAGTCGAGGCAATTCCGCTGTTGGTCGGCATGATTGGCCAGAGTCCTACAGTGTTGAGACTGGTGCCGCGCGAGAAAGTGTGAGCCGTGATACAAGCGGTGCCAAGCATCACTTCTGCACGCCTTGTTCGGCATCCGTCCTAGATTGCCTACAAAGAAAATGTTGCACTTGGAACCAGGCGCAGTCTTTGCTGTTCCCGTCTTTCGAATTGCTGTCCAGATCTTGGTCGGTGTGCTTGCTGCTTGAGCCAGCCGAGATGCTTTCAACTGGAGAGGTGCACGGATTGTGGAGCCAGGGCGGTAGTAACCAGCAAGGCGTTGCGAGCTAAGTCGCCGATGGAGCTTTAATTTTGGCTTTCAAGCCAAGATGTAGGCAGTGCGAGCATGAGGCTTTGGTTGATGCTGAGCGGCTTCACCATCAATTAGCAGCTGCGTTCACAGTGTGCTTCTGTGCGAGTGAGGCCCGCACCTGACTCGTGATTCCCGCTCGTAGGGCCTTCCGATATGATGTGCCGCTTACCTGTGAGTTGAAGTCACCGAGAGTGCTTCACATAGCTTCAGGCCTTCACAGCTGTTTTCGCCTACAGCCTCATCGCCCGCTTCAAAAGTTGGGTCGCAGACAAGGCCGCAACCTTCACAAACTCACGCTGTGGTCCGTTCTCCAGATGTAGAATAAGAAATTGCATGGCAAGGATCTTGCATCCTGAATCCAATCCGCTCTGACTTATCTAATTACATATATGCACATATGCGCATGTCTTGCTCAAGGCCACAGGAGAAACGCAGCCGCTGATAGCAATCCTGAAAGCTCCCAGTGGCCCGTGCAACAACGTTGTCTGGAGACTGGTCGTGAAGCTGGCTCTGTGCGGGCATCAAATTTCTTACCTATCCCAGTGTTGAGTTTTATGTGTGCCACATACGTCCCAATGGATTACTCGCAACCTTGGGCAACGAAGACAAAAACAACAAAGGTAAGCTTTCCTCCTGTGCTCAAACTGAAGCTAGTCCTGCGAGTGCCGGGGCTTCCCACTGTTCTAGGAACGATCCTGCGCTGGTAGCATATGCGAGCACGGGCTTCAGTTTTCGGAGCCCGGTGCTCTTGCTTTTTGGGGCCAACATGGGCCAACGCCTTCAGGGATCGAATCATCCTTCCCCATGTCCCGCCCACGACATTCATAATGCGCGCCTGCCCTTTCCACGAGATATCCTGCCTCTCGCAGGTTCTCGTCTACGCTCATTTCGCGAAGCAAGCATGTTTCTGTCTCCGGTAGGGGCGGAGGCTGTGAACAAGACCCAGGAAGCAAAATACGTGGTTTCTCATAAGAGACAACCCCCTCGCGCCATAGGATATAAGTTGAGATGATATCATAGTGCAGCTACTTGATTCGTCTTCTGTACCGTTTTTAGGCCATGCGGAGTGATTCCATGCCAGCGATCGCCGAGCACTGCACCGTTGCATGTGCATTGGGCTCGCCGTGATCACGAACATAGTGATGCTGCTGCTGCTGCTGCTGCTGCTGCTGCTGCTGCTGCTGCTGCTGCGGATGGTGAACATCGTCATAACCATCATCATCACGATCATTGTCGTTGTCATCATCGTGACCATCATTACTATCGTCATCATCATCATCATCATCATTGTAATCGTGATTATCGTTCTCATCTTCCTCCGCTGCATCCTCCTATATCCTCCTCACAAGCATCACCGCGATCCAAGTTCATCATGACCACCACCGCCATCATCATCATCATCATCATCCTCATCCTCATCATCCTCACAATCAGCATTGTTATCATCATGGTTCTGGGCGTTATCATCAGCATCTTCATCCTCCTCGGCATCATCTACGCTTGACATGCAGCTTGTAGCATTACACTCGCCGTCCATGTTGTTGGGCATGCAGCTTGCAGCACTGCACCGGCAGTGGGGTGCAACGCCTCGCCGTCGTCATCGGCATCGTCATCACAAGTTCTGGAAGCATAGGGAAAGGGACGACAAAACGGGGCGTTGCTTCTGTGGTTGTCGGGCGCTCTCACATCGCTCGTCCTCTAGAGCGAGCTTGATTTCCATGCCGAAGTACACAGGTTCTCCACCTGTCCGTAGTTCGTTGATAGAGTCTGGCACTGTGACAGGGGCAGCTGATCTCCATCAGCAGCCTGTGCTGTGCCGCTGCTGGGGCGGCTGGTGCTGCCTGCGGATGGGTCTCACGCTTGTGTGAGGTTTCAGGTTGTGACAGCTTGGTAGTTTGCTGATTTTTGTTCCAGGTCGCATCTTCGGGTGTTCGCCACATGACTCACCCGTCCTAAGCTTAGCCATTAGCTTCTTCGGCTGCCAGCACCACGCGATTTGCACCGAGCCCCGTCCAAGACCTTGTGGTGCGACTTTCGCAGACTTAGTTGTTCTCGCTCTCTCTCTCTCTCTGTCTCTCTGTTTCTGTGTTTCTCTGTCTCTTCTCTGTGTCGCGGTACCACCGTCCGCCCTGCTCTCAAGTCATGGTTTTATGCTTGTGTTTACCTCGCTTGTGCATGCGACCGCCGGGACTGCGAGGGCTGACTGTTAAAATGTGTGCCAACAACATAAAGCAACGGTACAACATGTAAAAAACAAGTGGAAACATATTGTGCACAGCCGCAAACAAATGTAGAATCAGTGTAGAACGGTATACATGTCTGTATGTCTCCTAATTATCGGTCTGGTGGGTAGGAATTAGGAGATCAGTTTCGCGATCGTTGGAACAGACGTGATCATTCTTTCCCGTGGCCATTTTGGCGATAGCCGATCGGGCCATTCCGAAAAATAAGTTCGGCGTGGGAGGAACAGGATAGATCGCTCCAGTGCAGCAATGTCGTTCCCTCCTGCTGGCTTTGCTCAGGGGCGCCCGATGGCGGCTCCGTCGGTCCCGCAGTTCGGGTTGCCTCGCCGGATCGGCCCAACAGAGAACCAAGGATCCTGGGGGTTCTGCACTCCGGGCGAAGCTGAAGCCCCCGAGAACCCAGCGGCTCCAGCTGCCGCATCCGGCGATTGGGGCTCAGGAGGCTGGGGTCGCGACGATCGTCGAGGACGTCGTGATCGTGCAGCTCCTGCCGCTCACAACCCTTTCGCTGTTCAGCGACCTGAGTTCGTTCGTCAGCTTGTGGTCAAGGAGGCGGATGAGACCCAGAACTCCCTCCTCGTGATCGACAATCGCGACGACCGGGTGATCTCCCCGTTCCAGAACTGGCTGGCCGAGGAGATCATCTCGAATGCCGCCAGCTCGATCAATGTGCTGACGGAGCGGGATCTGGTCATGCCCCCGAACTCGGGCTACCACTGTTCGCTGTTCGCGAACTACACGCTCGATGGCATCAAGGCAGTTCTGCTCTTCTCGATGACCTCGAGAACTGGTGGTCCTGTGCTCAGTGGGACTCCTATATGCGAGCCGGGCGCTATCGCACCCGGCCTTCCAGCCTTTCACATGGCCGGTGATGTTCGATACCTCGGCCACCTACGTGGATGTGAAGGTGAAGGTCTTCAATGGAAACGAGGTCCTTTTCCATTGGGTGTTCCGGGGTTACCGCTCGGACTCGGACCTCTCTGTCCAGCAGCAGTACTGCGACGAGGTCCTGATCAGGACGGCCAACGAGGGGTGGTTCCGACCCTCGATCGTCATCTCGGTCTTCGTGGGATGGAAGGTCTCTGTGACCTCATTCGAGGTTGGAGCCCGGGTCTACACGATCGGCCCGAGAGGAGCGGTCATGGCAAGCGATCATGCCATGAGCACCTGCGAACTCAGAGTGACCGATCGCTCGTGTTGAGTTCCGGTTCCGGGACGCAAACAACAGGATCGATCTCAAGTGGGCGGACCTCCGTGCCAGGCACCTGGCTCACGGTGAGCCACATCTCGGGGCCCGCCTTGATCAACACGATCCAGGCCTGCCGGAGCCAGCGCGCTCGCGTGGAAGGCCCCGACCACATCCAGCAGTTCGCCCAGCTGTCTGCGGTGATCGCCCCCTGGTACCACAGTGCGTTCGCCAACGAGCAGGAGCAAGTGGGGACGCCTGCGGATGAGTTCCCGGTTGATCATGGGAACTTCCATGTGAGGGCTCGATCGAAGCTCAGAGTCTGCCCGCTGGCCGGTCGCACGACGAGAACAACGCCGTTCGGGCCCGGAACGGCCCTCCGGCTCTCATGGATGAGGCGGCTCGGCAGGCGGTTCAGCAGCTGGGCTCCTCTGTCACTTCGGCCATCTCGAACATGCCCTCCTCGGCCCAGCAGGTGTTCGACCAGCGGGTGAGCACTGTTCAGGTGCCGACCGAGGGCGAGCTGGGGGAGGCGCAGATCGCCGAGAATGTCGTCACCGAAGCCGACGATCGCATGAGGGCTGACATGCGCTTCTCGCGCACTTCAGCCGCGATCACTCCGCAGGTCTTCACGGACGTCCTCCGCGATCGCGAGCAGGCGGAGTATGAGCGGATCAGCACGGTCAGGGTGGAGGAGATGGGCCCGGAGATCGCGGCATCGGCTTCCACCCCGACCTCGATGCCGAAGGCGTTCGCCCCGGCATACCCACCGGCTCGATCGACAACGGGCCCCTACACGATGGACACCTCGGGGGTGGAGTGATGTCGATCGTGGCTCAGCTGATGGTCGGTTTTTGTGCACGCTCCAGAAAGTGAGTGGTGCGCCGCTCGACCGAAGCTTCCCGGCTGATCAGCCGGGCTCGATCTTCCGCGGAACAAACATCCTCTCGGCGAGCTAGATCCCAGCGCATGTTCTGCCGGATCATGACCTGTCTCAGGCACGGCGCTCGGTTGCCATTAGCAGGCACGTGCGATCGTCTGTGCAGCTGTTCAGGCCAAGCATGGATAGGTCCGTTCGGAAGATCCTGTCCCTTCCCTTGTTCGGGGATGAATTTTGCCAATGGTTGGTGGATCTTCGGATGGCTCAGTTCGAGAAGCTCTCGGCTGTTTCGGACGGGACGATCGCTGAGAGCTAGTGCCTGCGCTCGAGGAACTCCATACGCCAGCTCGGCGCAAGGACGAGGAGGAGCTCGGCAGGTGGGTTCCGTCGATCGAGCTGTTGTTTGGGCTGGTTCGTAGCAGGCTGGGCTGATCTGGCCACGGATCTGGGGTTTGGCTTGGCTGAAGCACCAGTCGCCCTCGGGCGATCGCCCCTGAGATCGAAGGGGACAGGCAGCGAGCCTCCTATACCTCTGCCACTCGCAAAGAGGCCGAGGTCGATCGAGCCACGAGCCGAAGATCAACAGGCTTCCCTCAAAGCTCGCGAACTCGGAGAGGCACGAAAGTGGGGTATGAGGCTGAAAGCGATCGTGGAGAGGTGCGGCGAGCACGCGGCGATCGCTGGCAACCCGAAGCCTGGATCTCCTCTATCCCAGGATGAGATGAATGCGCTGAGGGTGATCGTCTTCGAAAGTGGCGGTTTCCGCACCATCCAACAGTGCGTTCGCCACTCGGAGCGAATGGAGACCTGGGCTCGGTCGCAGAACATCCAGGCGATCCCGCTGACCACCGATGTGCTCGTGAAGTACCTCTTGAACCTTTCCGATCGAGGGTGCGGCCCCGCGGTTATACCTTCGGTTCGCGGGGCGGTCAAATGGATTTGCAAGCGGATCGGTATGCAAGTGCCGGATCTCCTCGATCCCCGGATCATGGCCTTGCGGAAGAAGGTGTACGGCGATCGAGGGAAAGAGACTCGTGAGGCAGTTCCTATTCCCTTGGTCTTG